ATTATTATTATTATTATTATTATTATTATTATTATTATTATTATTATTATTATTGTTATTATTATTACGATTATTATTATTATTATTATTATTTCAATTGGCAGCTATACCGTCTCAACTAACGCTGGTCCGGACGTTTCACTTAATCAAACTGCTCGTCCAAGGAGCTAAAATAATAAGGCATTTGTCTGTGGCGAAACCTGCCTGTACTATTAAGTGCATCCCACTTCTATTCAAAATCGGAGCGGCAGTCGAATGCAGTTAGACTATGCAAAGAATCGCGAGGGGGATCTAATGCACGAGTCTGCGTTTCTTTTCTCTTGGATATCCCTGATAGCCATCGACTGACGCCGGAGCATTGAAAGACTTGACTGACCGGTGCCAAATCCGACCCTTCAATTTAATGGCTCAACCGTGCGCGTGGACATTTGCCACTTTATTACCTAATGAATGTGCGGACGCGCTGTTGAAGAATAACTATCAAACCTGTCACTTCCGCGCCTCGGCATGAATGCGCACAGCAACGTCTTATTAAGAAGTCTGGAGACGTTTGACTGAGTGCAAAAACTCAAAAATTATAAGACAAATATAGTTTTCAAGTCTTCCGTGATTGTTATTCCTCTATTTATCAACAATCAACTAACGTTTCGGCGTCTTCGCCTTCGCCAGAGCCTGTAATCAAGATCCTGTAATTACGTACCAGTCGAACATTGACCTTTCAAAAATTATACTTTCTGGCTTTGGTGCGAGTGACTACGGAGATTGAGAAATTGTGAGTGATTACTGACGGTTTCAGTCGAGTGAAACAAGGATGAGGGGCATTCGCTACACTGCAGGTGAATTTAAGTAACATTGGAATGAGTTTTGTGAAACTTACATATGCATGAAAAACTATTTAAGCTTTTCAAAATACTGACCCTTCAAGAAAGTCGGAGGTAGAGGAAGAACGAATACTGGCTCACATTGCCCACCGGTCTGAACTACGGTGGTCTTCGATACTGAAAAGTAAATTGTTTTTTTTCATCAAACCTCTCAACGTCAGTTTACTGCAGTGAGTGACTCACATGAAAATAAATTCGTGAACTGGAGAGCTATAATTTTGTCATGAAGGCAACCGGTTGGCGAAAATGCTGTCAGTCTACAAATAATTGTAGGAATTCATGCAAAGGAAGGTCATACTGCTCCGATAAAAGTGCAGTGTTTTTCAGCAATACTCAGCCACGTAGGCAACGTTGCTCCTTTTTCCCTAACCTGCACTACGCAGCCTTTGCGATGATTGTAGTTTCGATTCAAACAACTAAAGAAACGGAACCAGGTTTTGTACTTCACAAAAGATCACAGATAGAAAGTAAGTTCCATGTGTCTGCGATAGCATCAGTGCATACAGTGCACATCATAAGTATAGACACACCTCTGAAAGTATCGTAGAAGTGCTCCTTAGGAGCTCATAGGTAAATGACCTAGTTGTCGTCAGATCCAGCATGTTTCGAAATCTTGTTTAGCAGCTTTTCATGTTAGATGGAAGGAATCGGGAACTTTTTTAACAATAAGCTTCCATTTGGGCAGTATCACAGGTATAGAACACTCTGGAAATTTAACCGAAACAAATTCCAGTCGCTGTTTCACGTGGGCAATAAGTAACAATAGCCTTCCCACATCACATCACCAAATGTCACGAGGGGCAATCTGTCTTTGCGGAAAAGGCTCAGATCAGCGGCCTGCCACCAGCAGGTCTGAGCAATCGTGAGATCGCTTGCCAACCTCGTGTCCAGAATCCTACGGAGGCAAGAGGAGATCTAGTAGGCCATGGAAGCTCACTGCGCAAGATGAACTATTTATGTCAACGACGTTTCACGCCAGTTTACCGAATGTGTTTCCTAAATTAGGTATGGTGAGCGGTCAACCGCCAGCAACATTGTATAAATCGAATTTTGAGATCATTTCTAGAAGTGGAGGACCAATTATTCATAAAAACGCCATTGTTCTTTTGTAATTATGAAAAAGATTCCGGATTCATGAAGTATGTCTGTATTCATGATACCATCTGAAAACAGCTCGGGCGTTGGAATCCTACCATATATAATCGGCTACGCCCGTGCGTGTGTGTGTGCGTCTGTTTGTCACGAAATTCATAGCAACCTGAAGAAGAACTTGGAGGGGTCGGGTCATGGTGGGGATGGGTAGGGCATTGGACAATATGTAAGTAGCACCCGTATGGTAAACTCCGCACATAGTGGGCGGGGCGTCAACCGTGAACGATGTCGCTGAGAGAAAATCATAATTTGGCTACAGAGCAGTCCCGAGAAGACAAAGTTAACAAAGGCTGACAAACCGAATAGAGGAGACACACCTGAAATGGGTGGGGCGTACTTGAGATGGGCGGCGCTTTCCGTGTCACTGAAAAAAGCTATAATTTGGCTACAAAGCAGCTCGGAGAGCAGCTCCGAGGCACCAACTTGCCTTGCAAAAATTGCAAAAATGGGGACGATACCAGCGTCAGGCCCAGGTTGACAGGCCGGCTGATGGAGGAACCCGTCACAACAATCATGACAAGTCGCAAAAGTATCAGTGTTAAAGCTAGGACGTCACCCGGAAGTGGCGCGCCCGAGTTCTGTGGTCAGTATGCGAGGGCTACCGAGGGGTGAACGACCTCGGCCAAAGAAGCTAGTTCGAATTGGGACCCTGAACGTGGGGTCGCTTACCGGGAAGTCTCGTGAGGTTGCCGACCTCATGAGACGGAGGAATAGGAAGTCCTATGCCTTCAGGAAACGCGATGGAAGGGTGCGAAGGCCCGCGAGATTGGAGAAGGTGTCAAACTCTTCTACAATGGAGCAGACACCAAACGGAATGGCGTGGCCATAGCGGTGGCAGAATCCCTCAAGGACTGCGTCTCCACTGTGAACAGGATCAGTGATCGGATCATGGGAGTGAGAATGGACACGAAGGAGGGGTACTGGACAGTACTGACCGTGTACGCACCACAATCCGGTTGCTCCGAGGCGGAAAAGGATGAGTTCTACCTGACCCTGGACGAGGCCATAAGATCGGTTCCGGAAGATGACTACCTCACCATAGCTGGGGATCTGAATGGCCATGTGGGAAGTGACAGAAGGGGTCTAGAAAGGGTGCACGGAGGCCAAGGAATAGGGGCAAAGAACGCTGAGGGAGAACGGATCCTTGACCTAGCCACAGCCCACGACTTAGCAATCTGTGGCACCTTCTTCGCGAAAAGGAGGACTCAGAAGATAACCTACAGCAGAGGAGGGAGACAAACGGAAAAAGACCATTTCCTGACCACAAGATCGCCTCTCAAAACAGTCAAGGATATCAAGGTACTGCCTGGGGAAAAGCTGGGCCGTCAGCATAAGCCTCTCCTGGCAGACATCGCCATAGACCTCCCTGAGAAGAAAAGGGTAAGAGCACAGCGGAGAATTCGGTGGTGGAAAATGCGCAAGGTAGAAAAGGATAGCCTCGGCCGAAGAATACTGGAGGCTGGGCTCCCAGACCCACATGGGCCAGTCCAGGACACCTGGACCCACGCAGTCGAGGTCATCCTACATGTCGCGAAGGAAGTCCTGGAAGAGACGCGAGGTGGTATCAGAGGAGACAAGGCAGCCTGGTTCTGGAACGAGGAAGTCCAGAGGATCGTCAAGCAGAAGAAGGAAGCATACAAATGCTGGCAAAAGACACGGGCCCAAAAGACTACGCTGCCTACACGAGTGCAAGGGACTGTGCTAAGTACAGCCGTTGCTAATCGCTTCAAGAATACGGGAAATGACGCCTGTACGGAGCAAGCCGAGAGACTGAGAATGGTTTTGTCTTCCTGAATACGCTCAAGTCTCGGCGATCGCGCGCCAGGACATCAGGATCGTTAAGAGACAGT